CATGGTAGGAAACACAAAGAGAATGTGAAAGACTACTACCAGAAACGGATGGAAGAGCAGGCTCGGAGCCTGGCTGACAGAACAAAGGAAAAACACCTCCAACTCTGTTCTCTGCTCCTCCTCCTGCAGGGGCAATGATCCAACCTCCCCCTAGTCTCTTCCTATTCCTCACCAGGTATGATGCCGGCATCCCATCTGGGGGCCCCTCCCATGATGCCAGTGACAGGCCCCCCTCCTCCTGGGATGATGCCAATGATATGTACTCCTGGAATGAGGCTGCCCATGGGAGGGGATATGGTTTGGCTCCGTGTCCCCACCCAGATCTCATCTTGAGTTGTAATAATCTTCACTTGCCATAGCAGGGGCCCAGTGGGAGATAACTGAATCAGGGGGATGGGTTTTTCCCATGCTGTTCTCATGATAGTAAGTCTCATGAGATCTGATGGTCTTATAAACGGGAGTTCCACTGCACAAGCTCTCTTGATTGCTGCCATGTAAGACATAACTTTGCTCTTCCTTTGTCTTCCACCATGATTGTGAGGCCTCCTCAGTCATGTGGAACTGTGAGTCCATTAAACCTGTTTCCTTTATAAATTATTCAGTCTCAAGTATGTCTTTATTCGCATCACGAGAACAGATTAACACCGGAGGCCACAAGCCAATGATGTCTGAGCCCCAGTGATAAGTCCTCTCACATTGGTGCCTACTTGGCCCAAATGACTTGACCAGACAGCTGAGAATAGAGGGGAGGCCTCTTTAGATCAGTTTTATATTACTTGCTCTGCTTCACCAGGAGATCATAGTACTGTGACTCTGAGGTGTTTTCTTAACAGCATGACAAAGAAGACTTGCTCCTCCCTCCTCTCAAAGATAGAATGGTATTAGAGGGGAGAAGTGGAATCAAAAAAGTGCAGTTTTCATTTGTATTGTGAAATGTGAAAATAAAGTTATCAACTCTTTTAGTTAGAAAGGAAAAAAAATGAAGGGCACATGATGAACAGAGAGGAATACTAGAATGAAGAACACACGCAGATGGCAGGGTCAGTGCTCTGTACTGCTGCTACATTAACTGTTGTTAATAATATCTGGAGGGGTGCTTTCAAATTACCCTCAAAAGTAAGCCATTTCCTTCCCTCTTTAAAAACCAGCTTAATATTGAGATATATAGTTCACATACCATACAATTCACCCACGTGAAGTGTACAACTCAGTAGTGGTTAGCACGTTCATAGAGATGTGTAAGAATGCCACAATCGAGACATAGGAATGCGTTTACACTGTTGGTGGGAGTGTAAATTAATTCAACCATTGTGGAAGACAGTGTGGTGATTCCTCAAGGATCTAGAAATAAAAATACCATTTGACCCAGCAATCCCATTACTGGGTATATAGCCAAAGGATTATAAATCATTCTATTATAAGGACACATGCACGTGTATGTTTATTGCAGCACTTTTCACAATGGCAAAGACTTGGAACCAACCCAAATGCCCATCAATGATAGACTGGATAAAGAAAATGTGGCACATATACAACATGGAATACTATGCAACCATAAAAAAGGATGCATTCAGGTCCTTTGCAGGGACATGGATGAAGCTGGAAACCATTATTCTTAGCAAACTAACACAAGAACAGAAAACCAAACACTGCATGTTCTCATAAAATCATGGATCCAAAGAGATTTGCAGAAGAGTGATTTATTAGAGAGAGAGAGAAACAGCTCCCATGCTGTTGTTGGAGGAGAACCCAGAGCATTTTGCACGTTCATAGCACAGCCTTTCAGACTCCAACCTCCTGGGTCCAGATACCCATGAGGCAAACTTCTTCCTGGCTCTTTCCCCTAAGATATTTCCTACACATGAGGCTATTACCCTTCTTGGTAGGACTTTGAGGCTCTTGGGGTGGCAGTCAAGGAATCTTTTAACTCATAGGTGGGAGTTGAACAATGAGAACACATGGATACAGGGAGGGGAACATCACACAATGGGGCCCGTCAGGGTCAGGGATTAGGGTAGGGATAGCATTAGGAGAAATACCTAATGTAGATGACAGGGTGATGGATGCAGCAAACCACCATGGCACGTGTATACCTATGTAACAAACCTGAATGTTCTGCACATGTATCCCAGAACTTAAAGTATAATTAAAAACAAGAATGCCACAATCAACTTTAGATTATCACCCCTAAAAGAAATCATAGGTCCATTACCAGTTACCCCCCTTTCCCCAGACTCCACTGATTCTGGAAAATCATGAATCTACTTTCTTTATAGATTTGCCTGTTTTGCCTAGTCTATATTTCACACAAATAGAATCATACAGTACATACATGGTCCTTTGTGACTGGCTGCTTTCCTTTAACATAATGTTTCCAAGGTTCATCCACGTTGTAGCATATAGAAGTAATTCATTTATTTTTATCACCAAGTAATATTCCATTGCAAGGATGTACCACATTTTAATTATTCATTTATCAGTGGATGAATGTTTGAATTGTTTCTACTTTTTAACTATTACAAATAATGCTGATACAAACATTCATGCACAAGTTTTTGTGTGGACATATGTCTTCATTTCTCCTTGGTGGAACTGGAGCGGAATTGCTGAGCCATATGGCGACTCCATGTTTAACATACTGAGGAACTTCCGGTCTGTTTTCCCAAAGTAGCTGTGCCATTTTCCATTTCCTCAAGAGGGTATGAGAGTTCCAGTTTTTCTGCATTCTTCCCAATACTTGTTATTGTCTTTTTGGCTACAGCCATCTCAGTGAGTGTGAAGTAGTACTTCATTGTTTTGTTTTGCATATCCCTGATGGCTAACGATGTTGAGCATCTTTTTGTGTAAAATCACTTCTTAGGAGGGACATGAATGAAGCTGGAAGCCATCATTCTCAGCAAACTAACACAGGAACAGAAAACCAAGCACACGTGTTCTCACTCATAAGTGGGAGTTGAACAACTTGGACACAGTGAGGGGAACATCACACATCAGGGCCTGTTGGGGGATGGAGGGCAAGGGGAGGGAGAGCATTAGGGCAAACACCTAATGCACAAGGGGCTTAAAACCTAGATGACAGGTTGATAGGTGCAGCAAACCACCCTGGCACATGTATACCTGTGTAACACACCTGCACGTTCTGCACATGTATCCCAGAACTTAAAGTAAAATAAAAATGTTTTAAAGTATCAACAAAAAGTCACTTCTTTTTGATACTGGTGAGACAGCAAGTCACACAGGCCACGCTGGTATAAACTACTTTTTCTTTTGTTAGCATTCTAAACATCCCAGGTAAAACTGTGTAAGAAACAATGAAAGAGATGGAGTTGAAAATTTTGAAGATGGCAAGTCATTAATTCATTTATTTGAGCCCCTGTTAGAGACAAGAGATGGTGCTGGGAGCAGGGCAGACAGCCACACAGGGACGTAGCCTCATGTGTAGGAAATGTCTTCGAGGAAAGAGCCGGGAAGAAGTTTGCCTCACAGAAACTACTGCCTCTGCCCTTCTTGCTAGGACTTTGAGGAACATGGGGTGGCAGTTCAGGGACCCATGCCCGTGGTGCCCTCAGGCTTATGCCTATGAGGACCTCCTACAGTATAAATGCACAGGGCCAGTTCCCTTAGTCCATTGTGCTAGGTTATGTTCTAACAGAGCCAGAGTCTATCAGTGGGTACTGGAGGCTATAGGACATTGTGTTTTTTGTCACCCGCAATTTCCCAATCCAACTGAGTGGTGTCAGAATCGATGATACACAATTCGTCTTGCCTGGGATCGGCTCTCTGTACAGCAGAACTTCTCCATCTAGAACACCATAGTCAGATCTGATCCGAGGCTCAACTAGTTAATTACAGGCCCCACAACCCTAGGGCATGTTCCTAGAATGGAAAGTGGGGTGGGGTAGAAGGCCTGGGTCCCAAGGGCATTGTTCCCGCCTCAGCCACGGTTACCTTCTTTAAGACCGTTGTACTTAGAGGCCCTTCTCAAGCAGTTCATCCTCCTAGGGCAGCTTTATGGTCAGGCCTATGTTAATTAAACTCTTGCTGGGGAATATTGGCGCCCATTGCCCAAACCTCACTGGCCTAGTTCTTCAAGGACGTGCCAGTACAGAGCCACTAAGCCCAGCAGTCCCCATGTCCTTAAGGTGGCCAAAAAGGACATTAGACAGTGAGCGTGTGCCCATGATGCCAGAAAGCATGATTAAACCTGGAACATGGCAGGGCGGGGGGGCAGAAAATGATCATGCATCTAGGCCACGAGGAAAACTGCAAGGTGCTGTAACTGGGGGATGCCCCAGGGCTAGCAGTTGCAAGGAATAACCAGGGATGTGGGCATCCCTGTGTTCAATTTCAGATGGGTGCTGCTCTTCCCACAGCAAAATCACCCTTAAAGTGTATCCTGGATAACTGGGACCTATTTGACCCACAATCTTTGAAAAAGAAGTGGCTCGATTTTTTCTGCCAAACAGCGTGGCTGTGATACCCTCTGCCAAGTGGAGAAACCTGACCCCCTGAGAGAAGTATAAATTATAACAACCCCTACAATTAGACGTGCTCTGTAAGAGAGAAGGTAAATGGATTGAGGTCCTCTATATGCAAGTTTTCTTTTCCCTAAGAGATAATCCTCAGCTATGTAAGATTTGTAACCTATGCCCTACTGGCCCCTCCTCAGGACCACCCCCATATCCAGGACTCCTTGTGGCTCCTCCCTCCACCGATGCTGACCAGGTCTCCTCAGCTCCTATAACCCAAGAGGAGTCAGGGAAGGCTAAAACGGCCCAGGCACCTCAGGCTACTAGGGTGCCCCAATTCTGCCCCCTATAGGCAGTAAGAGGAGAATTTGGCCCAACAAAAGTATATACTCTCTTTTCACTTCCTGACTTAGCAAATCAAGGCGGACTTAGGAAAATTTTCTGATGACATGGACAGGTACATAGATGTTCTTCAGGGCCTGGGTCAGTCCTTTGAATTAGATTGGAAAGATAGCATGTTATTGCTTAGTCAGACCCTAACCAGCAATGAGAGAGAGGCTGCTCCAGCAGTGGCTCAAGAGTTTGGCTCAAGATACCTTAGTCAAGTACATGATCAAATGGTGCCAGAGGGCCATTGTCACGTTCCCCGAGAGAAGCAGCGTCTGCAAGGGGGTGTCCATCATGTTCTCTTTCAACATGTTCGACCACCCGATTCCCAGGGTTTTCCAAAACCGCTTCTCCACACAGTACCGCTGCTTCTCTGTGTCCATGCTAGCAGGGCCTAATGACAGGTCAGATGTGGAGAAAGGAGGGAAGATAATTATGCCGCCTTCAGCCCTGGACCAACTCAGCCGACTTAACATTACCTATCCCATGCTGTTCAAACTTACCAATAAGAATTCGGACCGCATGACACATTGTGGTGTGCTGGAGTTTGTGGCTGACGAGGGCATCTGCTACCTCCCACACTGGATGATGAAGAACTTGCTCTTGGAAGAAGGGGGCTTGGTCCAGGTGGAGAGCGTCAACCTACAAGTGGCCACATATTCCAAATTCCAGCCTCAGAGCCCTGACTTCCTGGACATCACCAACCCCAAAGCCGTATTAGAAAATGCGCTAAGGAACTTTGCCTGTCTGACCACCGGGGATGTGATTGCTATCAACTATAATGAAAAGATCTATGAACTGCGTGTGATGGAGACCAAAGTGATAAGGCAGTGTCCATCATTGAATGTGACATGAATGTGGACTTTGATGATCCCCTGGGCTACAAAGAACCTGAAAGACAAGCCCAGCATGAGGAGTCGACAGAAGGTGAAGCTTACCACAGTGGTTATGCTGGACAGCTGGGCTTCCGCGCCTTCTCCGGCTCTGGCAATAGACTGGATGGAAAGAAGAAAGGGGTGGAGCCCAGCCCCTCCCCAATCAAGCCAGGAGATATTAAAAGAGGAATTCCCAATTATGAGTTTAAACTTGGTAAGATCACTTTCATCAGAAATTCGCGTCCCCTTGTCAAAAAGGTTGAAGAGGATGAAGCTGGAGGCAGATTCATCGCTTTCTCTGGAGAAGGACAGTCGCTGCGTAAAAAGGGAAGAAAGCCCTAAGTGAGGACTGTTGGCTGTTTGGAAAATAATAAAAGAATCAATTGCAAAAAAAAAAAAAAAAAAAAAACAAATGGTGCCAGAGAAGGATAGATTCCCTACAGGTATACAAGCGGTCCCTACCATGGAGCCTGGCTGGGATCCTGACTCAGAAAAGGGAGACTGGAGTTGTAGAAACCTATTGACCTGCATACTTCAGGGATTAGGCGAACTAGGAAAAAGCCCATGAACTATGCAATGTTATCCACCAGAACTCAGGGAAAGGAAGAAAACCCAACAGGCTTCCTTGAACGGTTATAGGAGGCCTTAAGAAGGTATACTCCCCTGTTACCAGACTCCACTGAGGGTCAGCTAATACCAAAAGACAAATTTATTATGCAGTCAGCAGCAGCCATTAGGAGAAAGCTCCAGAAGAATCATTACTAAATCCAGCAACCTCGGTGATCTATAATAGAGACCAGGAGGAACAGGCTGAAAGGGAAAGGAGGGACAAGAAAAAGGCTGCAGGCCTAGTCATGGCCTTCAGGCAAGCAGACCAAAGGGGCTCAAAAGAGGGAAAGGCTTGGGTTAGCCTCCAGTCTGGCAGAGCTTGCTACCACTGCGGCCTACCGGGACGCTTTAAGAAAGATTGTCCCCAGAAGAAAGGACCACCTCCTCATTCTTGCCCACTGTGCCAAGGGGATCACTGGAAGGCACACTGTCCCAGGGCATGAAGGTTCCCAGGGCCTAAGGTGGCTAACCAGATAACCCAACAGCAAGACTGAGGATGCCCGGGCAAGCACCAGCACCAGCCATCACCCTCACCAAGCTCTGGGTAAAGCTAAGCATAGAGGGCCAGGAGGTTGATCTTCTCTGGACACTGGTGCGGCCTTCTCAGTTTTGCTCTCCTGTCCTGGAGAGTTGTCCTCCAAGTCTAACTAACCAAGGAATCCTAAAACAAGCAGTCTCCCAACATTTCTTCCAGCTCCTAAGCTGTAACTTGGGAGATGTGCTCTTCTCTCATGCCTTCCTCATCATGCCAAAAAGTTCCATTCCCTTACTAGGGCAGGACCTGTTAACCAGAGCGGGAACCATTATCTACATGAACGTCAGGAAGGAAATCCCTCTCTGCCCATTATTTGAAGAAGGAATTAATCCCAGGGTTTGGGCAATGGAGGGACAATTTGCACAGGAAAAGAATGCCTGCCCAATTTGAATAAGGCTAAGAGATCCCACCTCTTTTCCTTACCTAAGACAGTACCCACTAAGAGTGGAAGCCAAACAGTGGTACAGGATATTGTAAGAACTTAAAAGCTCAGGGTCTAGTGAGGTTTTGTAACAGCCATTGTAATACTCCAGTTTTAGGAGTACAGAAACCTAATGGACAATGGAGGCTAGTGCAAGATCTCATGCTTATTAATGAAGCTGTGATCGCTTTATTGCCAGCTGCACCCAACCCAGACACCTTGCTCTGTCAAGTATCAGGAGAGGCACAATGGTTTACAGTCCTGGACCTTAAGGATGCCTTTTTCTGTGTTCCGTTACATCCTGACTCCCAGTTTCTGTTTGCCTTTGAAGACCCTTTAGACCAGAATTCTCAGCTCACCTGGACAGTGTTGCTCCAGGGCTTTTGAGGCGGCCCCACCTGTTTGGCCAGGACTTAAGTCATTTTTCACATCCAGGTACTCTGGTTCTTCAATTATGGATGACTTACTTTTAACTGCTAACTCAGAAACCCAGTGTCAGCAGGCTACCCAGGACCTCCTAAACTTTCTAGCCACCTGTGGACATAAGGATTCCAAACCAAAATCCCCACTTTGTCACCCCTATGGATTGGCCTACATCTCACCAACTCTCCTTATCCGTGACTTACTGGCTAATTAGACTTTTAACAGCTCTCCTCTTCTCCCTCTGATATTATCAACCCCTCAAATCATACGGGGCTTATAGGTCCCTTGGTCATCAATCTACAAATTCCATCTACCTCAAACTTCACTTGTGTGAATTCTACTAACAACTCCAGTGCTTCCCCATGTCAAAACTGGGCTGCCTTATCCCCAGGCTTCAACTGCCTAGCACCAGGCTTATTCTTTGTGGCACCTCAGCTTACTGCTGCCTGAACAATACCTCTGGGGAAATATGCCTCCTCTCCTTCCTAGTGCCCCCCCCATAATGATTTGCACCAACTCTCAGGGGCAAAGTCTTGTCTTGCCAAGGCCACACCATACTCAAACCCCAATTATTCCTCTCATAGTCGGGGCCGGAATAATAGGAGCACTTGGTACTGGCATTGGAGGAATTTCTACCTCTACTCAGTTTTACTATGAGCTATCTCAGGAGTTAATGATGACATGGAAAAGGTTGCTGATTCTCTGGTAACTCTGCAGAAGCACCTTACCTCTTTAGCTGCTGTGGCTCTCCAAAATAGAAGGATCCTGGATCTGCTAACAGCAGAGAAAGGAGGAACCTGTCTCTTTTTAGAAGAACACTGTTTCTTTGTAAACCAATCAGGTATTGTCTTAAACAAAGTTAAAGAACTCAGAGATAAATCAAATGCAGGGCTAAAGACCTTCCAGAAACAGGATCGTGGAGCTTGTTTATCGACTGGCTGTCCTGGCTCTACCCTCTTCTAGGCCCATTTATAACCATTCTATTACTGCTGGCCTTTTGGGCCTCTCATCTTGAACCTTCTTGTCAAATTATTGTAGAATTGAGGCCATGAGGCTACAAATGGTCCGGTAAATGGAACCCCGGATGTCCTTGGCTCATGAGTTCTATCGTGGACCTCTGAATCGATCTGCACTCCTGGAAGGCTCCCCTCTGGAGGAAACCTCAGCTGCAGGGCCCCTTCTACGCCCCAATTCAGCAGGAAGTAGTTAGAGAGTGATCAACACCCGTGTTCCAACAACAGTTGGACTTTCCTGTTCAGAGGGGGAACAAAGGGACTGTGTTAAAGAAACTTGTCTTCCCAGGTCCACTAGGGGAGGCTTTTCAAATGCAGGAATTTCCCAGCTCCCAGGTGCTCTTTGAGCACACCTCCACAACTCCATCTGGAGACCAGAGGGGTTTCAAATAGTTTCCCAGCTCTCGGGGCTCTTTGAGCACTGACTCCACATGGGCCAGGTAAAATTCTTTGTCTGATTTTCCCAAGTGTGGGAAAGCCAGGTAGGGCTCTTTTGTCCCAAATTCCTGCTGAAAGCTCTGGGAGGAGGGGGCTCTGTAACTCAGGGATATAGAACAAGTAGCCAATCTGGTATCAGAGTCAAAGATTAATCACTCCAGAAGAAGTTTGAAAGAATTCCTCTCATTGGACAAAAACATGAATGGGGGGAATAACTCGAGGGTTAAAATTTCAGCTGCTCCTATCTGAACGGATTTCCCACTCTGGGTTCCCCTTCTACAACAGTGTGGGAGCTTTTTTTTTCCTTTCTCTCAATCTCTCTGGCTGTCTAATAAAAAGCTCTTCTGCAAAACTCTTTGGGTCCATGATTTTATTTGAACGGTAAACTCACCACACCTCCAGGGCCCCCTTCCCCATTCTTCAGGGTTAGAGGGGCCAAGAACGTACAAGCTGGGTACAACCCCGGTAACAATAGGTGGTGATAAGCTTATTTAGGGAGAAGGTGTGGATTTACAAGAGAAGAGAACTCAGGGATGAGGCATGGGTCACTGCAATATGTAAAGGTTTCATAGAAGAAGATTGGACAAGCAGAAGAGCTAAGGAGGGAGACTAAAGAGGTAAGATGAAAACCGAGAGTTACTCAAGCCAAGAGATGAGACATGACGTGACATATGTTTCAAGGAGAGAGGGATCCACAACACTGGAAGCTGCCAGAGGAGATGTACAACATGATGACCAAAAAATCTCCATCAGATTCAGCACCAGAGATGTTATGGTGACCTTAGCAGCAGTGGATGTGGCTGAACAGTGGGAGCTGAAATCAGCCTGGAGCGAGGTCAGTACTGTGGGGGAGGTGAGAAAACAGATAATACAAGCGGTCAACTTCATCAAATCTCACGTGTCAGTAAAGGACAGAGAGGGGAAGTAGCAGCAAGGAGATGTCTGGTCAAGGGAGGGCTGCATTTAAGATGGCAAGATGAGGCGTGTTGAATGTAGACGAGAAGGATCCATTCTATTGGTAAGAACAGGAAGATGAAGATACAGAGACAGCATAGCTCAGTGACAAACAGCTCAGCTGCTGGAGCTAGACCACTTGGGTTCAATTCTGGTGTCCCCGCCTGCAGCCTGTGGGACTTAGGGCAGAGTATTTGGCCTCTCTGTGACTTTGTTTCCTCACCTGTAAAATGAAAAAAAAAAATGGAACTACTGTTATAAAGTTAAACAAGAGAAGGTATTGAAAGGGCTGAGGTGTGGATGGAGCCACTTTGCTGGTGAAGGATTCCAGAGCCACACCAATTTTCCCCTCTCAACTGAGCTTTGCCCTTAGAGACACTGATTGTTCTCTTTTAATTTCTCACCACAACTGGACAGTTCCTGACTCACATCTGTGCCCTCCCAAAATTCATATGTTGAAATCCTAGCCCCCACTATGATGGTATTAGGAGGTAGGATCTTTAGAAGGTAATTAAGGCATGAGGGTAGAGTCCTCATGAATGGGATTAGTGTCCTTACAAAAGGAACCCCAGAGAGCTTTCTCACTGTCTTTGCATCATGTGAGATAAAATGAGAAGAAAGCAGCCTGCAACCTACAAGAGGACCCGCACCAGAACCTGATCATGCTGGCACCCTGATTTATTTCCCATCGCCTCCAGAATTATAAGAAATAAACTTCCATTGTTTATACGCCATCCAGTCTATGGTAGTTTGTTACAGCAGTGTATTAGTCTGTTCTCATGCTGCTAATAAACACCTACCCAAGACTGGGTAGTTTATAAAGAAAAAGAGGCTTAATGGACTCACAGCTCCACATGGCTGGGGAGGCCTCACAATCATGGCAGAAGGCGAAGGAGGAACAAAGGCATGTCTTACATGGCAGCAGGCAAGACAGCAAGTGCAGGGGAACTCTCATTTATAAAACCATCAGATATTGTGAGACATATTCATTGTCGTGAGAACAGTATGAGGGAAA